ATTCTAAACCAAGTTTTAATCAGATTGGTATTCTCTACAGTGTTCTGATCCTAAACACACTACTTTACTACTAATCCCATGCACATCAAAAGCCTAAACTCCCTCTTGACATTATTCTGTCTTTACTAGATTAAAAACCCAGAGCTTCCAACTTAAAACTGATTGGTAATTGTCAGAGAGGTTCAGGGTTATTGACTTAATTAACGAGATGATGGAGAGATATATGTATCCCTTAACATCTACAAATCACTGTATAGCAGTGACGTACCCAAGGTATAGTCAACCACTGGCGTAAGCTCATCCCAGTTCTGTTGTCCGAAGAATTCACCTCCGTTTGGGTTCGAGAAGCTTAAATATGACGGAACTTGAGTTGTTCCTGCAAAGAACTGGTTCCTTCCAAGCAGATGGTCATTGGCAAGCTTCCTTTCAATCTCCTTCTCATCTAAAACTCCGAAACTCTTCACCTCGACGCTATTGTCTGACTCTATGCTGCATGTTCTGGAGCCGGAAGCAGTTGTATTTTGTTTGGAAAGATTCTTCTTATTTTGCCAATCCGATGCAAATTTTCTGTAGGAAACATCACGCTTAAAAATTCTGCATAGTGTCCAAACTTCCTGCAACCCCATGAAGAAAAATCTTCGAGTCAATACTTACCCAAAAACCAGATTGAATTGATCATCAATTCATCACTTGTTTATAAGATTTTTACTAATTTTAAAAAGAAAACGGGAACAGTATTATTGAAGTCCACTACGTCAAGTTCTTAAAGATGTTAGTAGTTATTAATAGCAGATATCAGTAAAGTCCAGGATGCTCAGATTCTAAGCCCTTTACTGTTAGGTTTAACATAGAACTTAATTTTCAAGAGAGATTAAGCAATTAACAAGTTTATGGTAAGGAAATGGAGCTTACAGCTTCTGGCAAGTTGTCTTTCTTAGTGTTGGAGAGACTGGGATTTTGACCGGCTGGAAGGCGAAACTCATGCATCATCCAATCGGTTTTGGTGCCTTTCCCTGCACTTCCCCGGTAATAAACTAAGGATTTCTTTAGGCCTATGCAATCATGAAATTCTCCAACAGAATATATTGGCTTGTCGATACCAGTAGCTTTCCAGAATCCTGACCCTGTAACCCTGTTTGGCCTAATGCTATTCCTGTATTTTCTCCCTCTTCTACAAAAGAAGTACCATTCCTTCTCGGTAACAGTGCTAAGTTTGCTAACTTCTGCACCATCCACAGTAATTAGTTAGCATCAATTAAGCAATAAGAAACAAAGTTTAGTGTACATGAAATTCAAATTTATTAATTAACACCCTTGAATCCACTTTCTTCAACGTTCAAAGGGAATGAACAATAGTTAAGAACTGAAGAAAAAGGATTGACAGAAATTTCATGCTTTTAGAAGACAAAACAACATGGAGGATATTAACATATTCCCCTTGATAACTCAATGGAATTTTCATTCTAAAAAAGAAAGAGGTAAAACATTTGAATCATACTTGGAAGATCCCAAGGATCATATTTGTAGATGTCAACATGTTTGATTAAGTCGATACTAAAGAGTTTCTTCTCCACCTTCCTTTTAAGATAAAACCCCACAAGCTCTTCATCAGTAGGATGAAATCGAAAACCAGGAAGCAAAACATCTTCATCATCTCCATTGTTACCTGAAGAAATCGTCTTCTCCACCTCCATTTTTTCCTCCTCTTGAGTGTTTCTCTCCCACTTTGAGAATGCAACACAGACCTTATATGATGCTTGCGAAGAGACTAGTTGTCAGTCAAAGTCATAGTATATGACTGAAACATGCTATGAGATATTGCTTGCTTAATTATTGAAGACTTGGTTTATAATGTTGAAAACTTATTTTTTAACATAGATTTTGTTTTTAGTCAGATGTTTCACCGGAGCAAAGGACAATTAAAATCTTTATTTGAAAAATATTTTGGCCCTATAAACAGCAAACAAGAACAAGAAAAGTCATTAGCAAAGAACAACTAGTTTGACTAACGTTTGCCTCTAGGCATGAAAACTTGACTAACTACTTTGTGGCATTCCACATTGAGAAACTGGTTTTACGTAATCGTTTCCCATTTATTCCAGGGCATAAACGTTTTTGTCAGCAACAGATGGACTCTGAGCAGATGATATATGCATTTTAGGCAAAGATATTTCTCATCTCTATTAATCCACATTGTCCCATGTAATTGCAGATCGTAAGTGGCCATCCAGTTTAATACAGACGTTAGAAAGAAATCTGAACACATCACACTACATCAATAAAGTCAACTACTGCCCATGACTATTGACTATAGATTAGACCGGCTTAGAGACGATAAAAAAAATGGAAAATGGAAAAGATTGAACTTTTTTTTTTCCATCTAATTGAGCCCAAAATATCCTAATCAAATGTGCTTTTAAGTTGTGACACGTTCGAATTCAAGAAATTTGAAGATTAGCTATACTCACCTCATGTTCTGACTATCTGTGGATTGGTGTTGGAAAATCTTGTTTCATGTCTACTTACATATATGACAATGGCTTAGGTTTTGGTCTGAAAGATAGACCGGCTCTGTTGGAAATGGTGGCTCTGTTGGAAATGGTGTGCTATAACCCTCACCAAGAAATGAAATTGAACTTGCATGGCCATTGGCCAATCTGTCGGCCATATGAATGCATGACTCTAGTTTCTCCAAAGGATGGAAAGTGGTCGAGTGAAAGGAAAAACGTGATTTGGATTGATTAACTCTTTTGCAAGGGATAAAAACAAATCCATTCTTAAAACACCAAATTAGAAGACTGTAAAAATTGATTTCAAAATGTATATCAATATTATTGTCTTTGTTTTATTCGTCTTCATTTGACTTATAGTATATAAAAAAATTATTAACATATACATCTCGAAGATATAATAAAATTTAATAAATTATTATATTTTATATTAATAAAATCAATTCATTACGCACTCGTATTAAATTTCTATAATATTTTTGTACAGAAATATAATATAAAAAAATTATAATTATATATTTTTAAAATTCTTTGATGGAACCATACTTTTTATTTAAAAATGTCCAACATCCATCACATCAAATGAAAAGAATTAAAATTAATTTAACAAAAACCCAACACAAATTAAAATTTAATAAAAAAGAAAGTAACCCTAACAACCTTTTTTTGTATTCAGATCCATTTACCACGTTATGTCCTTGAGGTCTGTTTGTTCGCAAAGCCGGATCTCACTTTCGTTCTCGACAGGGGGATTCCCCTGTTCTTTGAATACAGTTTAACTTTCAAAAATGAAAGATCCATTTACCACGTTCAAACATGGAGATGGAGTGGATTGGACTAAACCTGCCGGCCACTTCTAGTTTAAGCTACACTATTTGTGATTTGATTAATAGTGAGTGAACGTTTTCCTCGTACCTCTCTACCAGGCCTTCTCTCCTGCTCTAAGACCTAGACTGAATCAATATAAAATTAATTTTAATAGTAAGAAGGTAATTTTAGGATTTTTAAATTTTGAATTTGATTATAATCTTTATATATTCGATTACTTATTTGATTTGTTCTTTGATTTCTTTTTTTATATAATAATTATATTATATATATATATATTGAAATTTATTTGTGTTAGTGATTATTTTATTTGTGCGTGAACTGTTCCAAGGTGAGAAAAACAAAGACAACTGGCTAGAGATCTTGCAAGGTAATCCTCGTCGACATAGAGATGAAATTTTCTTCTTCTAACATACACATGCTTTTTTTTTTTTTAATTCTGAAATAAGAATAAACCATTTTAAGCAGTGAGTCAAATTTTAACAGAGAAGTTCTTACATCATACCTTAATTAAATCAGCAAAAACCATGTGCTAATTAAATGAGGAAGCAGATATTCAAATGTAATAATTTAATTACATTACTTTCCCACTATAAAGAGAGAGAAGAGAAATGATGTTACCAGTGAATTTTGTCATAAGTTATATTATGAGCAAGTCTTGGATTCTCAATAAAACAAATAATTAACACAGTAGGAAGCTTCTAAGTGAAAACTTGAACAAGCAGTGGACATACTTATGTATATCGACCATAAAGCAACGAACAATGGAGCTAGTCAATTTTTGTTAAAAAGATCAAAAACGAAAAAAAATAAAAGTTAAACTTTTTTAAAATTAATATGTTAAATTTAACCAATGATAAAAAAATTCATAATAGATAATAATTTTATGTAGCATATAAATAAATTAATTAAGAAAAAAAAGATTTATAATAATTATTTAACAAAGTTGTACTTGACGATATTTTTTTGATTCAAATTCATCAATTAGTGGTTTTATACTGAAAAGACTAGTAATGTCTTTTTCAATATAAACAACTAAACTATCAGCAAGAAACTCATCATCTATTTTATTCCAAAATCTTATTTTCACAATTTTCATTACAAAAAAGACCCTCTATGTGGTTGTTGTATAAGGCGAATTAATCTATACAATTTTTTGACTTTTCTATTTCTATTAATCTCTAGCACAATGCAAAAAGTGTCTTAATATCTTCAAAATTTTAATGATGAGGTACATCAAGCTCGTAATGCCTAATTATAACTTTAAAATAAGTCTTCTTGTTCTGTGACATCCTAATAATAAAAACTCTCGGCTAACTTGCAAATATTATCAATAATAAATTATTTGTAATTGTTATTAGGACTTAAAACAGTGCTTAAAGTTAAAAGTTTCATAATCTCAAATTCAATTCTTGTAATAGAGAATCTATCATTACTAAGAATACATCAACTTGATAATAATGCTCCATAGTTATATCTAGTTGATAAAATTGACTTTTACCTAAGATATGTTGTGCACCCATGTCAGGAATTTCTATATCATGTTTTGACAAAAGTTTTTTATATTTTCAAGTAAATTAAACCACTCATCATCTTCCAACTTCTGTCGGAGTGATTTTATAATCAAAACAAGATGAATTGCATTTAAAATATATTGAGAGCCTAATTGTAATGCTCGACAAATAACATTAGTTATTACTATGATCTTATACATCAAGTGTAATATGAAAATAAATTCAAATAATACTGATATTTTAGTAGCAGTAGAAGCATCACCTCTTTGTGAATAACAGAATTTCACATAATAATTAAATAATATAAATAAAAAGAAGAAAATAAAAAAAAAACTTTTTCTCTTCTTAATTTTACACAATGATAATGAATGGTTTATGTCTTTACTTTTTTTAAACAATAAAGTATGTTTTAGTGATGAATTACAAAAAAAGAGAAATAAAAATAAAAAGACATAAAACAGAAAGAGAAAATAAAAGGAAAAAGAGAAAGTAGTGTGGAGAAAATTAAATTAAGGTAAAGTTAAGTAGGTTAGTGAAATTGTTTTATTTTTTTATTTATATTAATTATTAAATATAAAATTTATTTTAAATAGATTATTAAAAATATATAATAAATAAAAAAATTTAATAATTTTAAAAGAGTTATTGATAAAATATATATATATAATAAATATTTTTAAAAATTTCGTGGGCCCCCATTGTCGGCTTACCCTCCGCCCCTGTCTGCATATGGGATTTTATCCCAGAGTGAAAATGTGAACGGGTGGGAAAAGGATTTTTGTTTATGTAATCATGAGCAATGGAAAATCCGGAGGGCGTTGCTAAGAATTGATCTCCATGTCAATGGGGTAGCTGTCCCTTCCCCCCACCAATGCTGACAAATCAGAAAGTCTAAAAGGGTAGTAATCAAGGCACACACAACAAAAAGCTTTGATTGCAAAGGGAATGGAGGAAAAGGTCAAAGTTCAAAGTAGTTGATACCTATGCAACTTGCTGGCCCTTTAGAAACTTCCTGCGCTTAAACATGCCAAAACTTCTCGCACAATGTTTTCCATAATTTACTTATTTTTGCGTCTTTGTTTGACCGTATAAAAGCACTTGTGATCAGCTTTTCTGCTGTTTTTGGTTTTATTAATACAAATGCATTAAAAAATTTTGAACATTTGTGTGGAAAAATATTCATTGCAAAGCATTTTTCTTGTGAGAGCAAGTTAACCTCCTCATCGGTCATCAATCTCTCTCACTTTTCGTCTAAACGGACACATGGTTGCTGAACGCATAGACTTTGATAAGGTCAAATATGATCTCATCATCATTAATCCCATTTATTAATATATTTGGACCATGAATTTGCAAAGGGCCATCTTAGCCCAGCCAAGTGTAAATTTGGGGGCTTTTACGTAAAACCCAAGTCCAAGTAATCCATATCAATTTACCCGGTTTGGTAGGCTTCTAGCTGCATTCGAGCCCAAATTTTGTTTGGATAATTTCAAACAAGGTATAAAGGTCAATTGAGTTGAGGCCGTACACGAACCGAAAAGCAGTAACCAAGTCTTTAGCAGTCATTCACTCGATTGATGCCATAAGAAATTCCGAACATGGAAGCCGCTTCTTGTTCAATCCTTTACACTCTCCGCTTTTCAACCAACACAGTGACTGCAAGTATGAACAACAACAAGTTGTACTATGAAACATCACTTCCTGGAAACCGTCTTTGTCTGCTTCCTTCTTTTCCCTCGAATTTCCCAAGAAACTTTAACTTTCGTGGAAAAAACTTGCAATTCAATGGCTTTGCTGCTTTCAGCTCACCCTCTAGTGCCCAAAACCAAAACCCATCTCAGGAACTAGCCGTTCTTCTTGAGGTTGATGGGTAATTCACTTGTAGGACTAGCTTTTGGTTTCTGATAGTGTTTTCTCATATTAGTTACATTTCTTGTTCTGGGCTTTTTCCTTGATTTGTTTAATCAGTTATTCATTCGATTAAATGGTTGTTCTTTATTTGTATCATCTTTTATGTATTTGGGGACTTGTATGTTCAAAAAAGAAGAAAAGAAAAAGATCTTTGCACTGTAAATTTGGATTGATAGGCTCTCTCCCTTTGCTTACGATTTGCATTTTACCCCTTTTTTTATGGATTTGTTATTTTCTTTTTGTCTAGTTGGTGTTTCAGCTCCTAGTTGAGTACTTTTTCCTTGGTTCTAACCTTGAATGTTTTCGCTATCTTGTTCTAATGACAAACAGTTATGTAAGAGTATGTTTTACTTTATCTTCTTCTAGAGGTGTATAAAATTACATGTTTTTCTTGCTTGTGATTTTTTTTTTCATTTTTAATTCTTTCAGGGTCCTTATGGATGCATATCGATTGGGTAATCGCCAAGCCTTCAATCTAGGTGCGGCAGATGAAGTGATCATATGTCTATTGCGCAAAAGGATCTAAGTTAATATTTCAATGATTAAGCTTCATGGTCATTTGAAAATCATATGTTTATTACTTAATTTACTGTTTTTTTTTTTAAATACTGCCAGCATTTCTAAAGCTTGGGCTTGACTGTGCAAACTGGACTGAACCTGTCTATTCGGATCTTCAAAGGTGAACACTCAGACAAGATTGTGTTTTTATTGTGTGTTATCTTCAAAGCTAGCGCATTTTTAAGTATGCTATAAATCAACTATTTCTTCATCATTTTGGTGGACTAAGTCAGAGTTGATTGGATTTGATACAATGGTATAAAATTTCACCTTTTTCCCTGGGTCTTTTTAGTGGAAAGTCGTGATTTAAACTATGAATTTTGATATTCAATCTTGTTGAAAAGCAATTTATGATTACTTTCCAGGAGGAGTGCTGGTAATGAAGAAAGGATGCTGATGTTATATTTTAACCGGGCAAGTTCTTGTGGTTAAAAGCATTAAAGCTTAGGGGTTAGCTTTCTGTGTTTTTCATGTTATTACATCGATTATCTCTCTAATTATGTCCTGTCATTTGACAGATTGGTTGGCCTACTTCCTTGCCCACAAGCGAGAAGGAGCCATTTGTGAAAAGTGTATTGCGAGAGAAGGTACTTTGAAATGCGATGAAGAAATGATATAACTTTTCATGGATGTACTTGTGTCTCTGTTATCTTTTATCTGATTTTCTCAATCAATAAGCTGGCTCACCCTGTTGCAGTTATAGCCTTGAGTTCTTTCTTTTCATCACAATCTCTCTTCTAATTATATAGGCTTTTCTTGCCATCAAGTTTAGCTTGTGCTTAGAGTGTAGCGTGGTAAGCTAATGAATTGTCCTCTAGTTATTGGCAGAAAAGTGCACTGGAGGAACTGATGTTGAAAAGTTTACCTTTACGACCTGGAGTTGAGGAGTAAGTTGTCATCTAGTTATTGTGTATGTTGCCCCATTTTTATGTTCTATTCATTTCTGAGAGTGACTTTTCCTCTTTGGCATCTAGTCATTGTCATCTGTGTTTACCATGTGTTTTTTTGCAGTTTTATTGATGATGCATGCATCAAAGGAATACCTGTGATCATCTTAACATCCTACAGTAAGAGTGGGGATAAAATTGCTCGGTATGTTCTAGGGATCACCAATATCATGCTGTGTTGTTTCTGAAATATGAGAAATGTCATGCTGTTGTGATTCAAGTTTGCTGCCAATTTTTTCCTTTCTCTTTTCATTCTATTTTTGTCCAATTAAGTATGCTCCAGTCCATTATACAGCAGTACCATGTAAATGCAAATTTCAATCACAGGGCACATGATAGTTCATCTATTCCGTATAGTCCTTTCCCAACACCTCTTTTATAATACCTCCGGAAAATAATGACTTGTTAAGTTATCGTATTGAAATTTGAACACTTTGCCTAAGTGCTGGAGTTCAGGGTGCTTTGTTGACAGTGTTGAAGCTTTCTAATGTTTCCCTTTTAATGTCAAAAACATTAGATCTATAGTTCAAAGGCTTGGTCATGAACGACTCTCAAAAATAAAAGTTATTGGGAATGAGGAAGTAGAAAAGAGTTTATATGGTCAACTTGTATTTGGTAAAGCAATGACTTCTTCTTTGGATGAGCAACTAGCTAAGGAAGCAAGAAAAGCAGGTAGAATCTTAGTCTTTGTGTTTGGTAAAGAAATGGTATGCATCTTTTCAGTTCAGCGGGTCTCTTACAAATCGGTTTTGTTCTTGCTTTTCTGCCAGCTTCTGCTGAGAAACAAAGAATAGCAAAGGAGGTTGCATCCATACTGAAAGTGAGTGTTGACATTGATACCAGCTCATCGGAAAGGTCAGACCATCCTTTTTTTTTTTTTCTGTTTGTTCCCTTTCTTGTCTGAGTTAAATGTAGTACTAGTCTACTGCAGCAGCCAGCAAATCAACTCACCACTTGCTAGCAACTACTCATGCATCATTACCATCAATAACTACCATTAGCAAACAATACCATCAATAACTGCCTTTAGCAAACATCATTAGCAACTGTCAAGAACATTGCTAGCCAATGGTGTTGTCTAGAAGGATATGAATAAACCAAAATCTTTCAATAATTTTTCAAGCGAGGGAAAATCTAAATGAGAAATAATTCACTTTTGAAATATTTTCTTAGAAACCAGAGTCATGAAAAGTCAACTAACAGTTCATGTCTGATGTATCAAGTCATTTATTTGGTGGCAATACCAACTTTACTCTGATATTGTGCATGCTATCCAGCTTAGAGAAGATTGTAGCTGCACTACGTGCAGGGGCAGAAATTGCTGGGATACCGGTCTACAAATGCATCCTTATTGCGGGAAGCAAATCCGGAGTTGCTGGAGCTGAGCAGATAGACATGCCTCGTGTTGTGCTGCGGAGCAGGTAAATGCTTGCTTATAAATCTTGTCAAATATGTGATGAATTCATGCCTGTTTTCAATTATGTGGTGCAATTCATTCCTTGTCTATTCTTTTGTAGTTTCACATCTAGAGCTGAGTTCCCTTCAGCCAATGCTATAATGGATGGTTTTGGAGGTGCAGATCTAACTATCTCTAAACTATGCCAAAAGCGATGGTCATAAGATGAATTGCTTGGCTGCAATTTTTGTTTCTCGGGTTTAAGATGTTATTGGTCAGCATTTCATGCAATCCAATGGAAAACTTTTGTAACATGACCGCGTTCGTTGTTCAAGCACATACAGGCTCAAAACTTGTCATACAATTTTATATACTTGTTCTCGGCAACATTTGTTTTTCTTAAAGTTAAACATTTTCACATGGATGCAGTGCTGCAAACTGTTAAATCTGAATTATTTGGCAACTTCACGCCTGAAATTCCCATGGGCATGTAGGCTGTAGCCCCGACGTCATATCCACTGCAATCACAGAGATAAGATGGACAATAATTTTGCGGAGACAGAAGCTCAATGCACTGCGAACCAAAGTGGAATAAGCTACCTCCACTGTACTTTACCAGGCTAATTCCCTTCTATTGGGGCCTGAGGAGGGACATGACCTGATTAGATTCCTTCCCAGGGAGAAAGAAATAATGCTTCTGTTTTCTTAAACCAAAGAAAGCCTTACATTTTGTTATGGCAACAACTCACTGTTGTTAGAGAACAAAGAGTTATCATGGACATTTACCCAGGGAGTAGAAGCAAAGATAAAGTAACGTAAGCTGCAAGCTGAAACCAACTTTATAGCATCACGTATAATTTTCAGCTAGAATTCCTGGACAGCCGCTTGAGAAGAAAATAGATTTCATTAAGTAAATCTATGAGAAAGTATACAATACAAGTCGCCCCGCTAACTTTGGTGTTATCATATACTAACCTAGAACACAGCCTAATCCTGCATCCTGGATTATTCTTTTGTTACATATGCAACAGACTCTCTCTCTCTCTCTCTCTCTCTCTCTCTCATATATCCCCATTGTTTACGCCAAAGAAAATTTAAGTTGCATGAGGAGCAGCTAAACCTATTTTGGTATACATTTTACACGGGAAGACTGGCTTTTATTAGAAAGCTCTGCTTCTTGAACTTTTGTACTTTTTCTCTGCGTTAAGTTAGGGCTTGAGTACTCAATACCACCATCAGACACTGAGATATTGGAAGATACGGATGACTCTGGAATTGAGCTTGTTGGATTTAGCTGACTTTGATTCCTGAAACTCTGAAAGGCCATTGACGGTTGTTGCCTGGGGGCCTCAGCAGTTTGATGGCCCTGAGCCTCTTCAGCAAGTCGCCTTAGAAGATTCATGACAGTGGGAAGAAACCTTGACGAAATAGAGATCAGCCCAGCCAGCTGGTAAGAAGGCAATCAAAGAAATTGAATCAGTTTGAAACACGTTCCTCTAATCTGGGCAAGAAAACTAAAAATTAGTTCCTGATGATCTTTGCCTCTCATATTAAAAGTACAAGTCTAGCTTTAGAATGATAAAATTTCAAAAGAACAAAAGAAAGCACAAGACATTTTGGACATAAACCCCCGGTAAAACGTTTTAGCACCAATTTGCTTCAATATTACAAGAGTATGACACTGCTCATGCTCTCAATTACAAGCTAAAATGTGTAAATACGATTTTGAAGGAACACATGCCATGCGCAAAACAAACATTTTGAAACAGTAAATCATACGTCAAACCAACAAGCAAATTTGGCAAAAATAGAGTGCATTCTCTTTCTTACAGTGCCATGTTGAAACTGCCCTCCAACATCCATCTGTACCCACATGGCTTTGGAGAGTAAATATGCAACAAAAAGAAGCATGAGATAGAGAGGATTCCTGTTTCATCAGCAGAGAAACATAGCAAGCAGAATAATTAACATGATAGTAGAAAGTAAACAAAGAACATCCACACTAGTATTATGAAATGTGCTAGGAATCAGACTCCAGATGAACACATCCATGCTAAACATCGGGCTTGGCCCAGTAGGTTCACCCACTGCCTTTGGGGATGCAGTCCCCCAGAACTGAGGATCTAGCCCCAGCTCCTGTCGAAAGCCAGGGGGGTTACCCCCCTTAAAAGCATTGCCTAGCAAAACAGAAGTAAAACACAAGACAGAGAGAGCGGTAAAAAGAAGAGACACTAAAGAATCCAGATTAGATGAAGTTACCTTAGAAGGAGCATGAATTCATTAAATCCAAGGACAACCATTGCCACAATGGCCCATGGAGGAGGTAACCAGTTGTTACTTCGCTTGTAAGCCTCCTAAAGAAAACAACCAAAATCATTACAGAGAGCCTAAACTATTTCCTCATTGATATGGCATCTTGCCCCACAAGTAGCATGAGTAGCAACCAACTGGAGCCTTAGATAACATACCTGTGCTGAAATAGCTTGAGTAACTGTATACTCAGTCTCTGCTTTGAATTGTCTCCACAGTGACTTGCATTGCACTGGTGTAATCAGGGTATTATTTGGTGAAACCTAATACATGCGTGACTTTCAAATGAGGAATTTCAGTTCATAAAAGTATATATTACGAAATTAACCAACCCAATCACTACCTCCTCCCACGTGCTAGAGGCAAGAGGGTCTGAAGAAGTTGATATACTTCTTTCTTGTGAAGATGCAACAGCCAAACTTCCATCCATTAGGGAGGAAAACAGTATGCTTTCAATTTTATCCAGTTTCTCAGCCAACCTAATCGCAGCCATTACCGATAACACCTCAGAGACTGCAAAAAGAACAATGGTTGAAAGTCTCTCAGATTGCTGCAGCATGCACAGTTGGTGATATATCAAGTTCAACTCATGAAATGATCCAGAAAATTACCGCAGTACGAGCATCCTTCGTAATTGTTCTAATATCTTCTTTTCCAGTCCAAACTCTTGGCATTGAATCGTTGTCATGACTGAAGACAGTTGAGAACCTGATACATGCAATCAAAGCATTACATACAACAGATTATTCTAAATAATAATAGAAATTATAAGGAATGTGACATTTAAGGTTCTCTACCTATCTTTCATGCGGATCAAAACTTTTCCAGCTTCTTCTCTTGCCTTCTTCTCCACCACATTTCTCGCATAATTGCTCAAATCTTGCAGCATTTTCTCATTTTTCGGTTGGTCTAACTCAAAACTAGAAATGGCAGTTGAAAACTCTGATACAGCAGTCTCAGTCTCACGTGTAAGAAGCTTTCTAATAGAAGCCCAGGTGTCTATTCTCAGCAGCATCAAATAGAGACTCCACTGGTTCAGATAGTGCTTGACTAAGTTGTTTTCTGAGTAGAAAGTAAAATGTCAACATTTTGCTTATATTTGATAAAAAATGGTGCATGGTTTAAGGAATATCCATATATGAAAAACAGTTATTTAATTAATAAATAAAATTACCTCATAGCTGGCCATCAATTCTGACAATTTTGCATTTCGAACAGATGATGTGTGGGCATCAATATCACGGCGAAGTTTATCCCTAACTTTAGAAGCATCCCAATTAGCCTGTCTGATGGCAGCATCTGGAAGGGGAAAAAATAGACAGATAAGTCTCAAAGCGGTACCTCTAAAGATCATATTATTATTATTATAATAATTTAGGATAGCTTTGAATACTCCATAAAAGTACAAGTTTGTGATAAAAGCTTATTACATTACCTGCACATCCTTGGTCAAATTCTAGCATACAAGACTTAATACATGTATGAGCAGCAGCTGCAAATCCTTCTCCTTTATTCAGCATCTGTTCCAGTCTAGACTTAAAATCTTCAAGTGCTTTGACACGTAAATGTCCCAACAGGTTAAGATAAGCAGGGTGCAGAAACTGTTCAATTCAGGAGAACCTCAATCAGAGTAAGGAAGATATTTTACCATATCAAAAATTTTAAAATGCTTACTCATTATGATGCACACAGTAAACCATTTGGAAACCATATCTGCATTCTTAAACACATGAACCCAAACGCATGAAAACAATCCCAGAGCTATGAAGGGGCAACAATTGGAAAATTCTCAATCACTGGGCCTTAAAGAGATTAGCCAGCAACAATACCATGTTTAATTGCTAATGGATATGTCAGAAGTTTTAGAACATTATGCTCACCAGTACTACTATCATAACCATAGAAACAGGCCTTAAATGCTTTGAGTCTCATTTTGTGATCTACCTAAGAATTTTACAACAAAAGTTTAGTTTAGTTGCCAGATTATTCAACATCAAGGAGAGTCCCACAGAAAATTTCCTTGACCAAATTAATATATAGCAGGCCCCGAAAATATAATAGAAAGCTTGATATGAAGCCACAAGCAAAAATATTAAAGCCAAAGAGAAGTGATAAATACAAAATGATAAATATTGATCAGATCACACCATCATGTTTCAAACAGAATGCTGGTTATAGTGAAGATGGAGATTATAACAACTTCCATCATAAAAAGTTTACTGTAAACATTATGAATGGTATTAAAAATGCAGCTGTAGTTTCCTATATTAAGATAGCTTCAAGCACCTCCATTAACAGCTAAAAAGCCTTGGTGAATGCTACAAACTGCTTAGAATTAAATCCTAAAAGCTTGAATTTTAACTAGATAAAAAATCCACTTTTTTGAAATAAAAAGTATCATAATGATAGAAGTACATAGTACTTACATCCAAAGCTATTGACTCCAGTTGTTTTCGTTTTGCATTTCTTACACCTTCATCAAAGTAGATTGCCTCCATGTCATATCTATGGCAACAGAAATTTGCAGTGTACAAGCAACATTAGGGCTTGCAGGAAAAAGAAAAGTAGTTCAATATGAATCATGAATTTTTGGAACCATTAATTCAACAATCAACTAGCATCTATCCATAGAAGTTTGAGGGGTGAAGAAACTTTTCAAGTTGCACAGGCTGGAAGCGTAACACATAACTTAAAGTCTTTACTACAGGTGTTTTTTCAAATCAGATTACCATCCTTTTGCGTACAATTTAAAACTGATATATAGATACATCAAACAACAATATGTTACTCAACATACTAGACATAGTCAAAACTTACTCTGAAAAGTAGGTTTCTAGGATAGAGCTCAGCTTTCTCCCAAAACCAGATACAGGCCCAGACTGAACGGCTTCTTCCAATGCTAACCAATCCTATACAAAATTTACTTGTGCAGTTAACTAAAAGGAGTATTCAATCAGCCAAAGTAACACCTAAGAGGAAGTTAACTGCAAAAATACCTCGTCAGAGGATAAGCGATGGAGCTTCTCATTGGCAATCTCTTCACAACGAACTGTGGCAACCATTACCTGATGACCATGATGAAAGACATTTACTTAAATCAGAAACAAAGAAA